TAGAGAGAGGCAGATATATGAAAGGAGATTGAAAAGTGATTGATGAAACGACCTGATCGAGCTACTATAATCGTTCGATACGAGTGCTATAATGGATAAGCCGCGAGCATACTACGTGGATATTAACGAGGAATTTAAATGTTCTCCTGGAAGCGGTTCTTCTTTACTTTACAAGTTCGTATAGGACAGAAAGAGAGAGGAAAGAACGAGGGAGAAAAACGGCGAGAAACCTCGACCATTAAGAGATAGAGCAGAGCTTAATTGTCTGCAACTACCTCACGAAGGATGTGCACGAAACGCGATTATGGTATAAAATAATTGATTTCACTCAGCCAAACTTGAAGCCTTCAATCTCAACGTAATATCTAAATGAAGATGGATATCTATGTGCAAATACAACCAGTCTGAAAGATATCGAGTTCCCAGCTAATAAGACAGATCTAAACGATATCTAGAAAATATCTAAAGTATGAAATAACTTATCTAAAATCAATAAGAAGATTAAGAAAAGATTTCCTTTTAATATTCCCTTTATCGTCAATTTCTTTTAAACGTTTTGTAAATTATGTTCAGGTTTTAGAGCTTCGATATATGAAATGATTCCTTCGGTTTCCTAAGGAGACTTCCGCTTCCTTTACGGGCGAACAAGTTCGCGAGATTCCGCGATCGTATCGAGGTTGTTCTCCGCGAGTTGCTCGGGCCATATAAACGACGATAGCACACAAGAAACTTTTCACCCCGAAATGCTATCGTACCCCGATATAAACGCGATAAACTGCATGATGTATAAACGCGTCGACGAAGTCATACGCGATTCGTCAAACGGACCATCGCGGGCTTCGTTGGAGGGAAGCCTAAGCTGATAACCGCGCGTGATCGATTTCTCGAAACACTTTATACGACGGCCGAGAAATCCGATAAGCCTCCCCTTATCCGTTTGGCATTCGCCGCGAATAAAACTGATTCGCGCTCTCTTTTTTTTCCGGTAACATTAGTAGCTCCCATCCGCGCATACCATGCTCGATTGACGTAAACAAGTCTCGTGTAATTTGAATATATCGTGTTTAATCGAACGCGAACGTGCAGGCGGAACATAATATTCGTTGATAGAAGCTAATAGTACATAAATATTGAACATATACCACGGGGGTAATCAATTTTAATTTAGAATGTTTAATAGAACAATGTCGCAATGTTAAAGAATTAATAAAAAATAAGCTTCGAATGAAAACTTGATTTTTAAATAAAAAGAGTGCAAGGTAAGGAATTTGCTTATAAAATGTTGTGCAGAAATCGTGTGCATAATTTATATGATAATTTTATAGAGATGAAAAGGGAGATAATTCTGATTTTTCGCTAAGCACAAATAGTCACAATTTTATTCCGCTACTAAATTTCTCTCTTTCTTTGGCACACTTTAACAATTCAATTAATAATACAATTCTATATAAATATTTAGTCTTTATCGCGGTGTAACGCAATGATTCAAAGGTCTGTCGTTTATCGTTCTTTATTAAATTTTCGTCAAAGGAAACATAGATTTCTTTTTAATATTAAAAAAAAAGTAATTGTAAAAGTAAATAATAAAAGAAGTAATTGTAAAGTAATTGTAAAGCTTGAAAAAAATCAGTTTAATTATTACTGTATCAATAAATGTTAAATGGTCAAATAAAAAAAAAGTATACATAATATTTGTGAAAACAGATGTCTCTTTCAATGCGTATTTATTTCGCTAATAACAATCTCCGCAATTAATAATACCGACTAATATCAGTATGTCACTTTATAAATACAATGTGTTATATTACGATAAAAAGCGGACGATAAAAAGCGCAAAAGAAACAGACAATTAAGAGAATTGATATGTCACGTCTAGATAAATGTAAGCACAAAAATGTACAAGTTCAAATATTATCGTACGACTCTCGATGCACTCTTTCACGAGACTCGATTACGCGACACGTAATATGTTCGTGTCAAGGGAGATAAAGAGAAAGATAATAGCGGCTGAGAACGTGATATCATCTCGCATTTTCGACGCATTTTCAAAGCATGATCGATCATCGATTATTAAATCCACCCGATGGATCGGCGCGTGCAAACGTGCATTATAGCATGGCTACGCGTTATCATTCATAACTATATACATATATACAAGCGTGCAAATGTCGGCCCAAATACGGCGAATCAAAATGGATCGAGTTAGACTGTAGGAAAGCATGATGAATTAATGACCGGCGTTATCTCTCCGATTAGGCCGATACGCTTAAGTTATATTTGCGCGGCTCTTGTATAGAGTAACGAGAACGCGTAAACCGGTTTTAAGTATTAGAGAAACGAGGGGATATTATTAATGTGTCATTAGTGGGAAACAATTTCTCTAAACGCGACATCAACATTAAGATTCACACGACACATTAACTTGCATAAATTAGGGATTCGATAAATTAATGAAGGAAATTGCTAAACGCATCGCGATAGAAAAATACGCATGTAAATTGAATATTTATTTCTCCAGATGCAAATTGAAAACAAGATTGAGATCGGAAAATCATAGTTATTGCACAAGCGTTATTTGAAGTGATTATGTCCGCGTAGAAGTGCACGCAGAAAAAAATTAGTTTACATAGGTTATCTGTCCATTTAAAGCTATTACACGTGGACTGACATCGATTCGAGGTATATATATATATATATATATATATATATATATATATATATATAATTTTTTTTTTCACAATCGAACATGTCGCGTTTTCATTTCAGCGAGGCTGCGGGTTTTTGCGCATCTCACCGTGATTGACAGCAACGATCACGATTGCACTGTACATTCACTGCACCGCAATTACGCGTGTAATAATATACGCGTCGATAAATAAATTATTATGCATATATCTCGTCTTTAATGGATTTATTGTGATGGTCACGCGTGACGCGTATCACCTTAACAAAATAAGCTCTGATCCCTGTCTCTCTCTCTCTCTCTCTCTCTCTCTTTTCATCGAGTTACCGAAATTGAATAAAATTGCGGGGAAAAAAATACCTCCTCTAACGTAATTCTCTCGGGTCGATAAATCGATTTTAAACTCGATCAAAACATTTATTACGAGATTACCATCCATCCGGAGCGTTATTAATGCGGGATGTTGTTGTTCGCGTTGTTGAACATTGATCGTGCCCCTGTTGCGAAACTCGCGAGGAGCATCGATCATCGATTTCCTCCCGGGTCTCCCGCTCCTAAGAGCCGCTTAAACCGCGATAATACAATAACAAAGATTGATGCGGCGAGATTACGCGATCGTGTGCCGCTTCGGATAATTTAATCAGACAGTTCGCCCTCTCCATTTGCGCGGATTAAATCGATTCGCCGAAAAATTTATCGCCGCCGAAACGGTCCGTGGTACAACCCGACAAGTCTCTCCTCCCCTCCCCCCTTCTTTCCTCCTTCTTCCACCCTCTCACCCTCGTTCAATCCCAATTCCGGTAGTTTGACACTAATTGGGGCGCAGGTACGACCCATCGCCATTCGACTATATCCATTACGGTGGGCATAGATATATGTGGACATTTGCCGCTAGCTGGTAATACGCGCGGAGGATTCGACAGAATAGCTATTTCGTAAGGGCGGCGAAGTGAGGGTCGAGAGCCGGTGTCCCCTATTATCTCCTTTACTCGTGGGGAAAATCCCGCCCCTGCCCTCCTCTCTCTTTCTCTCCTCTGCGTCCCGTTCGATGGCTACTCTCCAACTCTCGTTCTCCCCGAAATTGCCTCAGAAATTTCGTAACCCGCTCGGTGGAACTGTAACCGAACTTGATTCCCCAATTTCTTCCCCGCGATCGAACCATTTCCGATCGAATTGCACGTATTAAATCTTATGTTTCACACGAATTACTTGAAAATCAACTTTCCTCGTGGCTTCATAAGACATGTTCATCATTGTACGTGAGTTTTAGACAAATATAGTAAATTTGCAAGGAGGGAGAATGAATGTTTACTTGAAAATTAGCCTAAAGAGTTTATATAAGCGACTGGCTGTATGTAAATTGCCCAAATTGAGTTTGCGAATGTAATCTCCTCGTGAATAATCTCTCGTATTGTCTCTAACTCAAACAGAGCTTCAACTGTGTTGTAAAAGCATTTTCAGAAATTATATCGCTCTGAATCACCTTGTGATTTATCTTTATAAGCGTAATTAAGATTAGAGGAAACCACAGAGTAAAGTTAAAATTAAGTTTAATTCTCGTACAAATGGCACAATGCGATGGCGAAAAACAATTTCTTCGAGTAAAAAACGCGGTGCGGAAAACAGAATGAGAAAAAAATAAAGCAAAATGTACTACAGGCGTAGTGAAAACAGTCTACGCAAATCGTATAGATTACACGTAAAAAGGCAATTTACATGCAAAATGCACGTTTAATGTCAACTAATAATAGTCGAACGAGATAGAAACTGCGACGGAATGACTATTTCGATAGATGAAGGAACATGTGCGCTTATAAGGATGTTACAACCTGCTATTCGCGCCGTCAAGAATAGTCCGTTTCTGTAGTCACGCGCATACCGCACATGGCGTATAACATTTGTGAAAGTAAATTCGTGTTCTCACTCGTATGTTGTCCGGAAGAAAAATGACCCCCTTATGGAGACTCGTTTCCTGCATTTATCCTTATTTGCTGCGCGATTCAATTTGCTCGCGCAATGACTTACGATTTCCGCCGATCTATCAGACATGTTTCGGATATATTTTAGAGAGAGATATTTCGAACGCAGATATCGGAAATACGAGAGGATGTAAGCGACAAGAATATCTTTTGCACTTTTGTAAACTCGCGTTTTTATCGCAGATTTTTATCTTAGTTGTTATCTGCACAACGATGTATGATTTATTTATTTTATTTATAATTATGTAATAAAATATTTATTTATTTTTCCTTTTATTTTATACGCGAATCCAATTAATTAGTAATTTTTCTTTCCAAATTATTATTTTTCCACTTACCAGTTCTGCATTTTCAGTCTGCAATTGCGGCTATCAAGATAATTCCCACGGAAACGCTTGCATCAACCTATAAAAATACAAAATCAATAAAGTATCATAAATAAACTGATATTCCTACATGATAGTTTACTAGGTATAATGTAATTACTTCATTATATACATATATATGGAGTAATATATTCTATATCAATTTTATAAGCAATAGATATTATAATATAAAATAACATATATATAAAATTAACATATTTTTTTAAATTAAATCTTCCAAAAACTTGAATAACTAAAAATTTTGCTAATTGCACAAAATTACTCAATTCTTATAAATATCTTTTCATAAATAACAAAATTTAAATAAATTATACAATCAATTTGTCAATTTATTAATTTTTATATTAAAAAAATGTTTAATTGATATTCTATATAAAAATTGATATATTGAGATTTATGACTTATATGTATATAAAAGAGAAATAAATTTTTACATTAAAATTAAATTATTTAACTTTTTTTAATTTTTATATGATTGATTAGTAATAAAATTTGTGTTATGTTTACAAAAAATTTATAAACAATTATAGAATTATAAATACAGTCATAAATAAAAAGTTTATAATAATACGCGCTTCCGTTATTTTCTCGCTTCCTGTTCTATATAATAGTCGTATAATCGACTACCAGAGCTCAACAGTTCACGTAAATAGCTATGTTAAACGCCTATAGATAATAATGTGCAACGTAACAATATCTATTATAGTGTACGTAAGAAAATGGTACATTCGATATAATGGGTCAAGAAACTTTCTTTTCTATCCGTGTACAAGAGTCTGGGATCTATTCCGTTAGGAAGACATTATCCTGTCGACATATGACGTTAACGTGAAAGACCACGGGCAATACATCGATTATCGTTTCTCTACATTCTGTTCGACATTTCTGTTACGATGTTCTTAGTGTTACGAGCAGTGCGCATTTTATGCTTATCTTTACGAGCTTTTAACTCATGTAAGGGCACGTGAAGATATGAAACAGGTAAAGTATACGCTGACTTTTCCGACAAACGTAAAATGAAACATTTCACGCAAATGTTAACATCTTAATTTCTCCTTTTCGCACCCGAGTATTTTCTCTGAAAAGATATTAAACGCGTGCATTATATAATTGCTTTAAGAGAAAACTGCGATGAGAGAGAGAATAGCTATATAACTTCGTAATTCGAATGTGTATTTAAATGTGTATTTAAATGTGTATTTAAATGTTTTAGACGTCAGAAAACGAAAAAAATAGCTTCTTTATGACTTCAAGTGGACAGACCAATGTATCCTTTTTATTGTAAAATATATCTGAAGAATATATATCTGAAGAATATATATTAACAAGGTCATAATACCACAAGTTTTTATATCGTGACGTGCAAATTCTAGGAAGAAAGAGAAAGAGAGAATTAGCAGATAACCAACCAGAAGAACAATATCAAACATATATTCAATGTTTAATATACGCATATTCTTCATTTAAACTAGCTTTTCAAAATATCTATGTATTTTTTGTTTGACTGTTTTTAGAGATAAAATAATTTTTTCTTTTCTTTAAAAATATGTATTGAGTATACAAAAAATAACAATATATAACAGAATGTAAAAGAATTATAAATTATGTACATTTTGTGCAAATTATATTTGAGAACACATTTTTTATAACAATTTGACAAGATCGCAAATATTATCCAAGCAGCTGCGTCCACATATAACAGCTGTATTTACATATTTTATTGCGTCTGTAATGACATCGTAGTCAAAGTCTTCCGGTCAAATATTCTCGCTTGATACCGGGGACAAGACGGGAAAATAAACGTCGAAAATCAATGCAGCGTCATATAATCACGGATGCTTTTCCTAGGAAACCGACAGCTACGCGATAAATATCCAGCGCAGTAAAACCGAGCGTTAATGCACGCTCGGTCGATTTGTTTAATCCGGTCGATATTTCACGCGAGGTCCTGTAAGCTGTGATCTCGATACGATTTGGCAATCCCGTCACCGGAAATAGGCTCATAAAAGTGTGTAACGTGATAAACCAACCGTGACACGGTGTATTCGCTGCTACAGAGATCCTGTGCCACGATACTTCGGAAGAATCGATGTTTTCATTCCAATATCTTGTATGAATCAGTATTTTTATCTAGAGACCTCTACAAGTTAATAACAATTTATTTTTAAAACTATAATATTAATGTCGATTATTCGCGTTTTTTTTTAATCAGTTTTTTGTTCTAATACTTCTATAGTGTTTTTTATACATGTTATAAAGATAAACGGGATGTATGAATTCTAGACAATTCTAGATAAAAGAAAACGCAAATCATTATGTCACCTAATAACGAGATTTTCCGTCTGAGTTGTCATTAGAAACATTGATAATTTATTATACAATGTGGTCGATGACGACATGTGCGTAACAACACTTTTTTATTACTTTTTCATAGAAAAAACGTCAGCTATTTGTCTAATGTTTTATCGTTTACCGTTACTATTATCGTTCATTATCATCATCATTGCGCCCTATATGAGATATTAAAAATGCATCCCACTCGTGCAAGATGAATGTAATGACGCGAACATACATTTCATATACATTAAAGTAATTTTCATCGAAATCTGCGAAATTTCTTTCGACTTTTGCCTAACATTATTTTCTATTTTTTCCCTAATTATCGATGGCCTCGAATCATACAGGGCACATTCAGCATTGCGCGTACGAGTTTACGAAATGACAATGAATTCCACGTAATTTTCTGAGCAAACTTATCACGCTCGAAGTAATAACGTTGCTTTTTATCGCTCACGCCGGCAGTGGCTGCTCGTTTGCGGACACGCGGAAAAATCGTTAAAAGGTCGTTAAGCACGAATTACGGTCTGCTCCGAGCTAGCCGGCCACTGAAAATCGCGTTTTGTTTCGACGCGATGGAATAGAGCCTTTTAGTTCCGGAATGTAGTAAGCGCGATTATTGGCAATGCAAAAGAATAATAGATAATATGTAATTCGTACACAGTTTATTTCTTTGCGCTCTCAAGCGAATAAAACTCGACATGCTTCAACGAGCGACAAATACTATAAAAATTCGCAACTGTTATTATTAAATACGATTTTATTATCTCAATAAAGAGTTATGTCAATGTCAAATTATTGGGGAAAAATGAAATATTGCGCGAGGAACTAAAATGTCTGGAAAACTGAGTTATTTCTAATTTTGATAATTAAGATAATTAATAAATCGTTTAATGTATATTATTTTCTTACGTTACCAATATATAAATATAATAAACTGCATGCGTGCACGCGTGTACATATACTTATGCAATTTATTATTTATTATTTTATTGGTATATTTTATAACTTTTCAGCTAACTTTATTTTTCACTTGCAAATTCCAAATTTTTTAAACTGTAATTTAAAATATAACAAACTACATAATTAAAACATACGGGGAATTATTATAATAAGCGACATGTGCGGGTAATTTTAAGAGACCGCCTCAAATGTAGATTTCGATGCAACGACAGACAAACTGCGGTGCAGACTGCACACACATGTCGCGCTCACTATGTTTTATTTTCGAATCGAGACATGAACGAGGCACGCGCAACGCACGCACGCACGCACGCTAGCGTGACACTTGCAATCTCAACCGCTCGTGGAAATACATCCCAGCTTTGAGTTAATCTGTCGAGAGAACATGGGCGATACCCACGGAAAAGTGTCGATTCGTGATTTGCAATGTTATCCTACTAAACCCCTTCCCGCAATCAAGTGTCGAATATTCAATGAAAATATTTATGCACCTGCGTAGAATCGCAATACTCGAATTTCCACAACTTTTCATATTTATCTAAAGAAAATATTCGTTTATTTTTAAAGGAGAGAATTTTAAGTTGCGAAAGAGGAAAAAAAATGTGTGCGTGCGTGTAATTTTTATTTTATATATATTTTACTTTTTATGTGTATATTCTTATCATCTATTTGTGGCATTTATATTATATTATTTGATTTATATTATGTATTAATTTGCAATATAATATTACGTATAAATAAGATTAATATTATGCGTTTGCTTTGTGAGTTCTTTTTTAAATTTCAAAAATTGGTTTTTCATAATTAAAATATACGCGTATAAAATAAAAAAGCTTAAATAAAATGCTTTGCATTTCTTATATAACATATTTTTATATAATTTTTATATTGCAGAATATATTTGCATAACTATAAAAAAATATTGAAAACTTTCTCTATTACTGAATACACAGTAATCCCTGTCAGTAATTCCTCAAATATGCCACGTTTCTAGTGCAATCCCTTCTCTGTCCCCTCCCATATAAATAACTCACGAAGTCGCCGAATGCATTTTCGGTTGGCTTTTACGTCATCATAAACCGAACGGTAAGTAGCGTCGAGAAGACCTCGTAACCACCGAAAGTCGTCGGCGTTTTCAGACTCGGGACATAAGAAAACGCATAAGTCGCCAAGAAGACAAGACGATTTTGTACTCGGAGAAAGCTCGGAAGTAGCAAACTAAATATTACAGACCGCTTCTTTATCTTCAGGAGTTGGCGGGCGCTTTTACAAGCGCGTCAACGCAAGTACCGATATTACGAGAGCTTTCACGACGACGAAGTAGGAAGAAAAAAAAAACTGAATAGTCGGCGCTGCCTCAAAAGAAATTCTGTCAGCGTCGACATCTTAATTTACACCCGCTTGACAATTGTCGAATTTATTCCGACTCATTCCGATTTTATTTTCCGCAGGAAGACACGAGAATCTTGGAGGTATGGCTCAAAAATTAAAAGAAAATTGAATTAAAATAAATCGACACACGATATATGTATAAAATTATTTTTTTTTTTAAACAAAAAATGAAAAGCGCCCCCTTTCTCCTCAAAAATACTTCTAGTATAAAATCTTTATCGAATGTTCCCACGATCCGCACGAAAAAAAATAAGAAAAAGAGGTAAATGAAATAGCAGAGGCAATTTTCACGTTCGACTTCCGCCGGTCTAGTTGTTCCGTTTAAATCGCTGTTAACTTACACCGATTACCGACCACAATCTGCCAATGTTTTGTACCGACAAAAAAAAAAGCTCACATCTGCTGGTTAATATGTCAAAAAAATTAAGTGTGGCACACATTCACAAACCGTTATGGAGACTATATCATATATATGTATACTTCTCTCTCTCTCTGATAAGATCTTTTAATGTACAATAATAATAATAATTTTACATATCGATTTTATAAATATTGTATTACTTGTAAATATGTTTACGAGTAATTATAACTCATTACATGAATCATTATCTCTCGCTAATGAAATGATTGCAAGATCCAAGTCATTAAATATAATTGACATTACATTTCGACACGACATTACATTTCTCTAGAGATTACAAGTCGCGTAATCTCTAAATAAACACTGTTTAATTATAAATCGATAAAAAAAATAACGAGTTATGAAGAATTTTAAGGATTTGGATAAACAGAGCATTTCGTGGCAAATGCGTCAAGCGACAAATGTTAAAAATAGAAATTGGATATGGGGCTCGTTATGCTAATGTTCAAGCGTATTCGCGATCACTTTGAAGCGAGTAAATGGAAAAATTGCAAAGTGGTCTTTTGAAATAAAACAAAAAAAAATGATAAAAAAAGAAAACGTGCATCACTGATGCGGCTCGTCGAACGAGTACATGTTACGAGCGCCTGTTTTTAAAGTTCCTTCTTCATTGTGGCATCATTATATGCTCCGATAAGTCCGGTAATGCCCTTTAATAAGTAAGTAGCTCGTATAGCGAGATATTGGAAAAGAGTAATTTGTATTTGACGACTCGACGTCTTGTAAACCATATCTATTAACGGAATCGAAAAATTTTATTCTCCCTCTATAAATTTGCAAACGATAATCGGCTTAAAATGCAATGAACAAGTATCCCGAGATCGAGCAGTCACAAGTTATTTACGTGGAATAATAAATAATACGATCGATCGATCACAAGCTTACTGGCAGTGGAACATTTTATAACAATAATGATATTAATAGCATTGTTATTTGTGTAAAAAAAATAATGAAGTATGTATTCGATGTTTTTAAAACATCAAAAATACTAATAATTTTATTGTACATAAATAACATCGGTTTATATTAAAATAATTAATTCGCATCATCGAACAATCTTTCGTATTCTCTCTCATGCTTGCTTATATTTTTAATTTTCCCTTTAGTTTATCTGCGAATTGTCGATACAAAAGTGCTGAAATTGCTGAATGTCTGTTTATTGATGATTAATTAAACATCAATATGTAAAACGTAACATCAAAAATATCGCATTGAAATATTGCATTACAACATAATATGAGTTTTGAATTATTCCTGTCATCACATTTCCTGAATTTTATCCAATCAAATCTACATAATTAATTACCTCATCGAGAAAATACTCAGTAATCTCATTAAAATTTATTCAAATAAATTAATTTCAATTTCTACGAATTATCTAACATTAGTTGACGCAAAGTCGATATTTAACATTGGATCTATTAACATGATCTGAAATGCGAGTTGAAACTGATGAATATACGGAATTAATTTTCCTTAATAGTTTTCCTTAATAGTTCTTTAATGCAAATAAATCACTAAGGAAAATTAATTTTGCATATTCAGCTGTTCGTATTTCAGATCACATTAATAGATCTAATGTAAAAATATCAATTTTGCGTCAAGCATTAAATATTCGATGATTGAAATAAATTTATATATACATGAAACACAAAAGGTACGAATTAGAGCAAAACCGCGCATTTTTAGTGCAAAATATACCAGAAAATAAGCAAAGAGGTAGTAAAAATACATTCCGTGATGAATCGGAGTTGATATTTGCCCATTGAAAATTTGACGAAAAGCTAAATAACTTATAAGTTTTCTGCTTTGCACGTATTTCAACCATCGAGTTTCAAATTAAATTTGTCAAAGCTTAATGTATTCTCGTCGTGCGCCGAAATGCAAGATTAAAATTCAATTCGCAACAAAGTCGCCTCTTGCAAGTATAAATAAAATTCCTAGTTATGTAAAATCGAAACTTTGATGAGAAACAAATAGATTTTAAATTTCAATACACACGTCATTTTTCTGTGGCTTCTCTTCCCGAGCTCTCCTCGGAAACTAGCCTATTCCTAAAACAGGGGAAGGGAGGAGCTCGGTCAACGTATATTCGCTTACGACCGATTGTTACAAGTTTATTAACGTACGCTACGTAACGGGTGTCGCGGGTGCAACGAGAGAATCGTTGTCGACACACGAAACTCGTACTCGCAATAGTATACCTTGTGCAGGTCGATAAATAATCCTGCGGGGCCACCGCGCCGCCACCGTTGAGTCCCGTATGTCGCGTGCACACACATGGACGCGTGTACGTTGCGTGTGCGTGCGCGTGCGTGTATATCCTTTGTCCCATGCGCGATGGTAATCCTATACGTATCTCGCTCTCTCTCTCTTTGTCTCTCTCACTTACTCCTTTTTTCTCTCGCTCCCCCGTCGAACGAAGGACGAAAAGAAGCACGAAGAAGAGGAGAACCGCGAACGAAGAAGGCGGCAAAAGCCGAACGCACTTTATTATTTACGTATCCACATTGGCAGGCGTAGAGGGGAACGGCAGACACATTCACTCCGTTCGCGCTGAGGAAAAAACGAGCGGATACAACGACGCACAACTCTCACCACTAACTTCACGCCGGTGTCCGCGCGCGCGCGAGCAGAGACGGGCACGCATACATATATATAATATTATAATATAGACACATACAAACACTCGCGTTGCTCGGCCGTGTCGCCGGACGAGCCGAGGGGACTCGAACGGTCGCCGAAGAACCGCGAACGGATGTACAAACACGCGCGACGAAGAGAACCGACGCGACGCTCACGTACGCACATGCACTCGCACAGATGCTAATATCGCTCCGTTGCAGCGAGATCTCTTACTGAGAGCCGTTTCTCGCCATCGCTCACTATCTGGCGTCACGAAAACGTTTTCGGTGTCGCGTCACTTGGGTAGCGTCTCGCGTAGAACGTCGTACCGGCTCGAGCTCTTTGCGTTCACTGAGCCGACGTTCACCCCTTCCATCGCGCACAATGCCGCCACCATAGCCACCACCACTACCACTACCACTACCACTACCACTATTACTACCACTACCACACTACCGCCAATTCTGCCAACGACGCCGCTGCTCGGCTGAGCGCGTGGTTGGCGTGATAGCTGCATTTGTCAGGATGATTCTTCCCTCAAGGGGAATATCGGCGCAATTGCAGCTTATGCAGCATCGAGTTTAGAGTTTGTACGCCAAAATTGAAACGCGGGAGAGATTAGGCCCCTACGCGTGCGATGTTACGCATTCAAGTGGAAAAGGTTTTGTATGTATCGAGAGAATTTATCAGTCTTATTTATCTCGTTGTCAACAATAATGATTTAAAATCGGCGTAAAAAAAGCCGATTTTAAATCATTATTGTTGACAACGAGATAAATAAGAATGATAAATTCTGATAAAATAAATTCTGTTGCGTTAACGAGATAAAGAATGAAATAAATTATATACAATAAACTTGGATCGATAACACGATTACACGTCGGTTTTTATTATTATGACAAATATATGTCGAAACGGAAAGTTTAATTTTATTTCAGATAATTTGTGATAAAATATTATATTAATATATTAATAAAATTATATTAATTTTTATTTTATTATATTGATACAATAAAATTTATTTTAATATAATAAAATATAATAAAATTTAATAAAAACAAAAATTAATAAAATTTAGAAATAATAAAATTGATATAATGATAAAATGATATTAATGTAATAAAATTAATACAATGATAAAAACGAGTTTGCAATTTCTTTCTAGAAGTCCAGATACGGGAGAGATTCAAAACCCATCAGCTTTGAAATGTTACACGCATGCTCGTTAGGCACATTTATCTCGCTTGTTATACGACGTGGTCGAACAATGAACTAAAAAACTGCGTTTACGCACAAGCAACGTAGTCTATCCATTAGTCTTCGCCGAAAACTGCGAAACTCGCGATGACTTCGTGCCAGGAATTCGCGCGATGAATCTCGCGCGGTCTGGCCAGAAATAGCTTACGGGTTAAAGCGAAAGGAAAACGTGTGATGAGGAGGTTCAAAAGGAATCGTTCCACCGACACGCCTATTCACCGGTGCGACTAATTGCGCGATCTTTTAAGACCAGACCGGGCCGAGGCCGAGAAGCGAAACATATACTCGGCACCGTTTCCCTCTGGATTCCAAGTTGCTACTACCAGCTCCGAGTCAACATTTTTGAAATTCAAATTGCACCACGTCTTCTTCGGAGATAATGGCTCGCATTCGCGCCACTCATTTAACGTTAAATGCGCTTGCCTAGTTTCGACTTTTACTCAGAAACTCGAGGAAGCTTCTATTGTAGTTTTACGTAGATTAACTCGACGGCATTAACGGTAAATTAGCTCAAGATACGGTTATCGGATCTTTCTATATATTGACTATGACTAATACGAAGATAATGTTGAACATAAATGCGAGATAAGAATCGAATAGAAATCAATATTATTGAATAAACATCCGGTTTATTTAATAGCCTTGTCTAATTAATTTATTCAAGAATTAAAAACGTGACACTTTTTTTACGGAAAAAAAATTGTTGACAAATTTAATGACATTTATGATTCAATTTTAGATTTGTTTACATATAATGTTCTTATTTATAAAAATAATATCAAAATATATGAGATTATATATAGATAAATAGATATAGGCATTGGTTATATGTATATACCCAGTTAAATATCTTAAAAGAAAGAAAAAATGTTATTTTTTATTTTCCTATCTTATGTCAAAAGTGCAACTATTAATTTATTGTAAAAGAATGTTTAATGTAAAATGAAAAAAATATACTATACTCATTTTTCTTCCTTTTTCTCTTAAAGTTTCACTAAATAGTATAGAAAATATATAACATATCTAAGTTTATCGCTTTATGTCTATGATAATATGTATATGAGCTGGTTAATAGCCATATTAAGAGATAAATGTCATGACAAACCATGAAGTGGAACTTGGAACATGAACATGAACTTGAAACAAATAAATTAGATATTCTCGAGTTTTTTTTTTACATTTCAAGTTATATAATTGTTTACTGAATATATATGACAGTTTCAGTTTAATAATCTACAATGTGGATTGAATTGAAAATGTGCACTATTAGCGCATTAATAAAATCATGTAAAAAGTAAACTTTTATATTGGTAATAAAAAAAATATGTCGAATTTCCGTTTTATATTTTTTCTTCTTTCTTTTTCAACTATAAAGTTAAAATTCAACTAAAATTCAACTAAAAGTTAAAATTTAACTATAAAATTCAACGATAAAGTTAAATAGAATGTAATATATATATATATAAAAATAATGATAATTAAAACACGCAATATATATTTCTTTTCCTCTTTTCTCTCTCCTTTTATCTCATTATACTTATAAATATATTATGATAATCCGTTAAATATAAAATTTTTTACAATGTGTATGTGTATGTGTGTGTAGGCGAGCGTTTAATCGCAAAACATTTCATTTATAACGGATCACCAGAATTTCTCATGTTTTATTTAATTATTATTTTACTTGTACATGATATGTAACATTTTAATCTTCAATATTTCATATAACGTTTCTCCTCTTTCCATTTTTAAATAATTTATAATATTATTTATTTTGTATACAATATCGGACAATCATTCTTTTATCTTCAACTCACTGAATGATATACCAACTGAATTGCTCTTAATTGCGAATAAGTAGCAAAATTTCAAACACAATTTATTATAAAACTCGCTTTACATGTAATGGGTGAAAGAGGAAGGCAGTTATAACGCCATTCAATAATAATCGACGGAAAGGTGCGGTCACTTTAATAATGTCCGTTATAAACATCAAATTACATGGACACGTTTTAAGGCTCTCGTCGCTTTTACAGCCTCCGCCATATCTCGCGCGCGGTTCTGCGGCCTATAATGCGCGTTTAAATGCCAAAGGCGTCTTTGACCATTAAGCGTCGCAAATAAAGTGTGGAAAAATATGCGCGAGCGGGACGCAACGGCAAAGAAATTGCACGCGAAAACCTCCGAGCGTCCGTAAACGAGCGGAAAAGTTTTATGCTCTCTCTCTCTCTCTCTCTCTCTCTCTCTCTCTCTCTCTCTCTCTCTTTCTTCCTCTTTCTCGCAGACCCGCACACGAAAAGGGAAATGCATATTCGCGGAAACTCGCGTCGCTCGGGAATACGTGAAAGTTCGTAGTTGGCGCACGTATTCGAAGCTTGAAAAATATGTGGACTCAGTTCCTGCCAGCCAGTCAGCCAGCCAGCCAGAGTTCTCGACGATGCCGTTGCGGAAAATGAGTGCTTATCGTGGGCGATGGTCACTTCAACTGCTAACAGTGTTTCACTTCCCGCCGCGTGTTGCACTTTTAACGAGGCATTTATCACCAGTCGCCGGGAATTCCGCTACGTTTCACCCCGCGTGCATTAAACGTTAATTATCGCGGGATTTTAACATATAATATCGTGGCATCTTTTTATAACTCTTCTGTCGAGTAAAAAAGGCGAAAAGATCTTCATACGATTAAATTGCGGATGTTAAATAAAGAGAAAACAAACACGCGCGCAAAAATAATATCAAAAATGTACTGAAAAGTTCTGATCGTATATATTTATTATCGTTACAGACGTAATTACCATATTTCCTCTATAATTGAATATTAAATTAGAATACTAATTTGTTTCGATTACTTGCAACTTTTCATGCCTTTTTTGCAAACTCTAAGCACGTTCTTTACATCTCAGAAAATGTTCTCACGTTCATAATTATTTATCTTTGCATTTAACAGTGCGCGCGTGTTGCTTTTTATGATGTTTGCTATAATGTGTTTGTACGATGGAGCATCTCGGCTCGGTGAATCGTCCTTAGTGAGAAAAAACATAAAAGAAATTCCGCATTGACACGAATCCACTGCCGTCGACCCTCGACAATTACGTCTCAGACCTATATAGAACACCTGGTGGATCGATGGCTGAGGGCGAGAGACCCTTCTTCGACACGCTCCGTCCTCGGTATTCATCGAGGACGAATAAATTCGGAGCAACGACTCCACGAAGAAATCTCCGAAATCACGCGTGGCAGTCAAGTCGCCCCTCCGTCGAAATTCGTTTCGGCGAATCAACGAAAATTGCTTCGCGCACAATACATTTATTCGTAAATTAGTTCTCTTTCTCTTTGTGTATCTCTCGAAACAAAATTAATAATTAATTTGGAAGAATTTTCTGCCTGTGAAATAAATAAATAAATATATATATTTATTTCTGCTCGGCACACTTTCAATAATTAATTCATATATATTAAATGATATTTTCTGTCTAAATATGTTGTTAAATGTCAATGCAATTCGCAACGATGGAACATTCAAATAAAGAGTCATGTTCGATAGCGTGTAAAATTCGACGTTAAAAAACCATTATTTTCCGGAGCGATGAAAGAGAAGAGCCACGATAAATCAATATCTCTAGAAAGCACTACAGACATATCTCACATTCAACGACAATTTAGCTTATCGTTGTTCACACAATCTATGTAACATGTATTGATAATAACATCTACTGACTCGATAATATCTACTCGACTGTTTGTTGGCCGTAGTTATCGCGCTTAATAAAGAGATATGAGTCGACGATTGATTCTGATAATATGAAAGAGTACAATGTAAGAGCACAAGCATCTTACATTAGACTGTTAACATTTATTGATTGTTCCGAGAAATCTGAATAAGCATCGAGTGAACGACAATAACACCGAGGTTTTTTTTTATTTCCAACATGAAACATCTTTTAAAAATATATTTCTACTATTAAAAATAATAAAATAATAAAAATGTATTTAAGGAATTTGTTTAAAATATATTCGATTTAAAGGCAAAAGAGATAAGATTTTGATTCTCTTTCGAACAGTAGAAGCCTTTTTATCTTCGCTTACAATTCTAAAGCCACGCAGACATATATATGAATGCCTTCACATATTTTTCTTAAGGAGGACTTTTTAGGAGGAGAATTGATTGAGGAACCC